CGAACCCTCGACAATGGCGGCAACCTCCGGCTCTGGTATGTCCTCTCTCTCTCTCTCTGATCAGAACAAAGTCCATTTGTAGACGTTGGGCTTGGAAGCTGTTAGTTTGCATATCGAAAGATGGGAACTTTATTGGAAAAAAATTTCCCCTTGTGTATTGCCTAGGCTCAATAGGATAGAATCCCTTTGTATAGTGATTAGATCGTTGAAATATGGAAACCCCAAATCTCTAAATCCGTGACTTTGCGCAGAAGCAGTGCCGGGTTCTTTTCTGTCTGACAAATCTGCCAAGACATTCGTCGCCGGTCACCGCGGTTTGGTCGGATCTGCCATTGTCCGAAAGCTCCAGCAACTGGGTTTCACCAATCTTGTCCTTAGAACCCACGCCGAGCTCGATCTCACTCGCCAAGCCGATGTTGAATCCTTCTTTGCACAAGAGAAACCAGTTTATGTCATCCTTGCAGCGGCTAAGGTTGGTGGCATTCATGCCAACAACACGTACCCAGCTGATTTCATCGGGATTAATCTCCAGATCCAGACCAATGTCATTCAGTCCGCTTATAATCACTGCGTTAAGAAGCTGCTCTTCCTCGGGTCTTCGTGCATTTACCCCAAATTCGCACCTCAGCCGATACCAGAGTCTGCGTTGCTTACTGCCCCTCTTGAACCCACTAATGAGTGGTATGCCATTGCCAAGATCGCGGGTATTAAGATGTGCCAGGCATACCGAATTCAGCATGGCTGGGACGCGATCTCGGGCATGCCCACGAATCTTTATGGCCCTAATGACAACTTCCACCCAGAGAATTCCCATGTACTTCCTGCCCTCATGAGGAGGTTCCACGAAGCAAAAGTTAACGGGGCCGAGGAAGTGGTGGTTTGGGGTTCAGGAACTCCTTTGAGGGAGTTCTTGCACGTCGATGATTTGGCCGATGCATGTGTTTTCTTGATGGAAAAGTACAGCGGATTGGAGCATGTAAATGTAGGAAGTAGCACGGAAGTAACGATAAGGGAGTTGGCCGAGCTGGTGAAGGAAGTCGTCGGATTTGAAGGGAAGCTTAGATGGGACTCCACAAAGCCAGACGGGACGCCCAGAAAACTTATGGATAGCTCAAAGCTCGCATCTTTGGGCTGGACACCGAAGATTTCTCTCAAAGATGGGCTCCGTCAAACTTACGAGTGGTATTTGGAGAATGTGTGCAGCAAATGAATCAAGCTCATGCAGGTAATCTAATTACCCTCTGATCAATTCTTTCTTCATGAGGCAATTCTATTAAGTTTTTATCTATGTTGATGGATCTTCTGTGTGCACTTCCTTTTGTTCTAATTTGAAGAATCCACATTGCATATGCAAGTATATGTTTACAAGAACACTGAGATCTCATGCTGGATACTCAGCTATGTAAGCTGTAATCAGTTTCTTTGGATGTATTCCAGTGACATGATAAGTTTCTGTTTCGGGGGGGAAAAACTCGTATTTTCCGTGTTCTTTCTCTACTCATATGCATATATATGGAGCAACAGAAGCTGAACAGCTGAAATTGTGAAAAGCTGAATGTGGGTTTGGACCAAAAGTCTTGTCTTGTGTTGGCAACGAGAATAGCTTGGATTCTTACAAATTCTGCAGGAAGAATCCGGATGTGTGATTGCAGTTTGTTGTCGGAGCTTGAACTTGAAGAAGAAACGGGACAACAGTGAACGAACAGTCGGAAGAATGCAGGTAAGGACGGACACTAAAGTCTAGATGCCCGAAGAAAACACTGAACTGAAGTAGAAACCGAACATTGGAACCAAAACAAGGACCAGAGAGTGCCAACACAAACGACTGTCTTTGGACTTCGTCATGTTGAAGATAAAAACCAGAGCTCCCCATTGAGTAATGCCAGAGACGTGTCCCCTCTCTCTCCCTCTCTCTCTCTCTCTCTCTCTCTCTCTCTCTCTCTCTCTCTCTTCGTTCGTGGGTATATCTATATACAGTGTTGTGTATTTTTTCCGATATGAGATGGTAGCCAGTGACAGAGCATGACTTCTTGAAAGGTTTTTGGATCCGCAGCAAGACATAAAAAGTATTAAAAGGGTGGATTGTCCTTGACAAAAATCTAATATAAAATTATAAACAAATATAATTTTGTGAATATTAACGAATCCAAAAGGGACGTCCTTTTTTTTTGGAAAAAAATGCCTTTTTTATATTTTTTGTTGTCTTTAAAAAAATATGTATTGTACTAGAGAAGTGGGCATACAGAATTTAGGCCCATGGGCCATAATCAAATCCAGAGGATCCATTATGATCTAACGGCGTAGAACAAGAGCTTTTTCCAACAAATAGATCTCAACCGTTGATTGAAGTTATAATGGTTTTTTTTTTACGATGAAGTGTGTGCTTCTGCTTCGCATCTAGTATTTTAGCGAAAGGGCAAAATTCCTTCAGCGCCGCTCTCTTTCTTATCTTCTTATACCCTTCGCAGAAGGAAGAACCCTAGAAATCAAATCTCTCGAAGGTAAAACCTTTCGCATGAATCTCTCTTCTCCGGCTCGTCGTTTGAAGGGGTTCGTTCTAGGGTTTTCTTGGTTATTGGGCCGTCGTAAGTTTAGATTTTTCGCTGATTCATCTTCTTCCTGAATAGAATTAGGGTTCTCAGTTTGATCTATCCAGTTATGTGTCGGACTCTACAAGATGAAGTATGATTAGTGCTTTCGGATTTGAAATGGAAATCTGGGTTTGATGTGTAGCTTCATAGGGTATTTGTGTATATGTATGTTTTCTCTACGCATCCAAATCAATGGCCTCTGGCTTCGTGGCTCTTGGTGCCGCGCTTCTTATTCCTTTTTATGTTAGCGACTCCCAGTTGGGACGACAGAAGATCTAATGGTTGTTGCTTATAGAGTATGTTGATCATGAAAGGTCTTGTGAAATGTGTAAATGCTTCAGTTCATTTGGTATAATTATTTCATTTTGTTGTGGGAATCGATGACTCCTTTGATGCATTTCGTGCTTATGTTTCTGTTGTTTACTTGCAGATGAATCGGGAAAAGTTGATGAAGATGGCTAACACCGTCCGTACCGGCGGAAAGGGTACAGTAAGAAGGTATCTGCATGTGATATGATAAAATTACCTTAATGGTTTCTGTTGTTTCTCTGAGATTATGTTTTCTAAACAATTATCCGGTTGTAGAAAGAAGAAGGCCGTGCACAAGACCACTACAACCGACGACAAGAGACTGCAGAGCACTCTGAAAAGAATCGGTGTGAATGCCATTCCAGCGATTGAAGAAGTTAACATCTTTAAGGATGATGTAGTTATTCAATTTGTGAACCCTAAAGGTATACTTGGTTTAAGGTTATTTTGTAGTCAAGTTTGAATTCTTTGAATGTGTTTTGTATTAACGAGGTTTGGTTCAATGGTAATCCAGTTCAAGCTTCAATTGCTGCAAACACATGGGTTGTCAGTGGCTCTCCTCAGACCAAAAGTATAGCCTTTTTATCTATATACTGACGAGCTCTTGTTTCTTCTCTTATCCATATTTGAACTGTTGTTCCGTAAACTGTAATCTAAATTCTAACTTTTGAATTTTCTATGCAGAATTGCAAGACATCCTTCCTCAGATTATCAGCCATCTCGGTATGCACCATTAACAGCTTGTACATGTTTATGCTCCCATCTTGTAAACCAATGATCCTTGAATATGGTTGGCATTGAATCTCCAGGACCGGATAACTTGGACAACCTGAAAAAGCTAGCAGAGCAGTTCCAGAAACAGGCTCCTGGTGCGGGAGCGGCCACTGGAGCTGGCCAAGAGGAAGATGACGATGATGTCCCAGAGCTTGTAGCGGGAGAGACATTTGAGGCGGCTGCCGAAGAGGGCGAGCCTAAGGCTGCTGCGCCGGCCGCTCCTGCTGCTGCTGCCGAAGAGACTCAGCCCAAAACCGAAGCTTCTTGAAGAATGCTCCTGGAAACTATCGGATTGACATAATCTATAATGTTTTGTTGCTCGACCCCCTTTTTCGAGCTTTGCCAGATTCTTGTTTTTTTCTCTGAAGCATGCAACAGAAGACTGTTTATCCCCGTGATGTTTTGGTCGGAACAACGATTCACCTTCACAAGTTCAGCTTAGTTTTGTAGTGCAATCTTTCTCGTTACAATCCTCTTCGTCCTGATTGTGATTTCTGATGCTTTTTGCTTGAACTTTTATTGGGGTGAAGGTGATTCATGCTATGGAATCAAAGGCAAACCCATGGATTGGTAACCACGTTATGGCGCCCATCTTGTATGCCTATTTTATCAGAAACTAAAAATCGTATAATTGGTGTGGATAAATTATTAAATTAGACTTGATCCATTGATGAGAATGATGGGTCTGGTCCTTCCTAAGTTGTCTGCTCATGAACGGCATGAAAGAAAGCCACAGGGAGACATCCTCGTGTCTTTTGGCTCTTTCTTGTAGAAACCATTCCACCTGTAAAAATCAAAACTCGAAAAAACCTTCTTCTTCTCAAACTTTCCAGACATTTCCTCTTTCTCCCTTCATATTCGCATAAGCACCATGTCTCCTCTCCATCCAATCTCTCTCCCCTCACTGAATCCTCGTAACAATGGCTTCTCTCTTCGTCTCTGCTCCCTCTGGATCCTATCACCACTTGCATCATCATCATCATTTGTGCGGCAGAAACGTCTTTTCTCTCAGACCCATATCGCTAAAACCTTCAGAACCCTGGGGAAATAGATCATACACATCGATACGCAGAAACCCTTTGAGATTTTCCTTGAGACATGAGCAAGAGCGTGAACCGACGAAGGACGATTCTTCTCCGGTGGCGGTTGCGACCGAGGAAGGCAACAAGAACGAAGCTCCGCCGTCACCGGTAAGCGATGAAGAAGAGGAGAAGATGAAGCAGCAAGAGATGGATTGGAAGACGGACGAGGAGTTCAAGAAGTTCATGGGAAACCCATCGATCGAAGCCGCCATTAAGCTCGAGAAGAAGAGAGCTGATCGGAAGCTGAAGGAGCTGAACAGAGAGAGCAGCAGTGGGAATCCGATCATTGCGATATTCAACAGCCTGGTGCGCGATAGTTTGACCAGAGAGAAGGAGAGGCTTGAGAAGGCAGAGGAGACTTTCAAGGCTCTTGATCTCAACAAGGTATGGCAAATGATGATCTCAAGTTCCGATTTTGCCAAAAAAAGTTTGCATCTGTCCTTAGAAATCGTATCATATTTTGAAGTTCTTATGCCTTGCTTATAGCGATTTAGATATCTGGATCATGCTTTGGTGAATCCATGAAGTTCATTGCTTTACTTTGAAGTATTGTTGCAGTTAAAGAGTTGTTTCGGTTTCGACACATTCTTTGCAACTGACGTTCGTAGATTTGGAGATGGAGGTATTTTCATTGGGAATCTAAGGAAACCCATTGAAGAGGTCACTCCCAAGCTTGAGGCAAAGCTCTCTGAAGCAGCTGGCCGGCCAGTTGTTGTGTGGTTCATGGAAGAGAAGTCAAATGAGATCACCAAACAGGTAACAACAATATCATGGCACTTCAATCTTGTAAACTTTGCTCTCTAGATCTCTCAGATTCGATAAAGCTTATGTTTTTCTTGTTCTTGAAGGTATGTATGGTGCAACCGAAAGCCGAAATAGATCTGCAGTTTGAATCTTCTAGGTTGAGCACTCCCTGGGGGTATGTCAGTGCAATCGCCTTGTGTGTTGCGACTTTCGGTACCATTGCTCTTATGAGTGGTTTCTTCCTCAAACCCGATGCCACCTTCGACGACTACATCGCTAACGTAGTCCCCCTTTTTGGCGGGTTCCTCGCCATTTTGGGCGTCTCCGAGGTTCGTGAAGAGAAATATCTTGAAAGATTGAGCCTTTTATCGTAAATTCTGAGCTGAAAATGTGCTATGTTGTGTGTAATGTTGTGTAGATAGCAACCAGAGTTACGGCTGCTCGTTATGGTGTTAAACTAAGCCCGTCGTTTCTGGTGCCATCCAATTGGACTGGATGCCTCGGAGTTATAAACAACTACGAGTCGTTGCTTCCGAACAAGAAGGCGTTATTTGATATTCCTGTGGCACGTACTGCAAGTGCTTACCTCACTTCGCTTGTTCTTGTGGTTGCTGCTTTTATATCTGATGGTAGTTTCAATGGCGGTGACAATGCATTGTAATGCTTCAGACCAAGATGTTCTTGAACTCCTTTTTTTGATGTCTTTATATCATTATGTTTTCTGATGTTTTTAAGGATTTCCCTCCTCAGGTATATAAGGCCACAGTTTTTCTACAACAATCCTTTGTTATCTTTCATCCAATTTGTCATCGGCCCTTATACCGATGACCTCGGGAATGTGTTACCTTACGCGGTTGAAGGGGTTGGAGTTCCCGTCGATCCACTCGCTTTCGCCGGTCTTTTGGGTAAGTCTCGAGCCTGGTTCGTTTTCGTTACTCTTTTGTCTGTTACTGTGAAAATGTATTATAGTCTTCCAATTTACGAGTCATTTCGGGCTTAACGTAATAACCTTTCAGGCATGGTGGTGACATCTTTGAACCTATTGCCGTGTGGAAGACTCGAAGGAGGCCGGATTGCTCAAGCCATGTTCGGTAGAAGCACGGCTGCTCTCTTATCGTTTGCCACTTCCCTTCTGCTCGGTATAGGAGGCCTCAGCGGAAGTGTCTTGTGTCTGGCCTGGGGATTATTCGCAACATTCTTCCGGGGTGGGGAAGAAGTACCCGCAAAAGATGAGATTACCCCTCTCGGGGACGACAGGTTCGCTTGGGGCCTCGTCCTCGGCCTCATCTGCTTTCTTACTCTCTTCCCCAACGGCGGAGGTACTTTCTCCACCTCGTTCTTCAACGGACCCTTCTTCCGCGGCGACCTCTAGATGTATGTGTATATATAGCCAGCCAGTCTAACTCTCATATCACACCCTATCTCAGTTTGGTACTGTATATATATATATATATATATACATCTGAGATTAATATACGCAATGATGTGAAAAAAATAGATCATATAACTTATTCTTGGAGAATCTTATTGATGATACATCAGATTTTTCATGTATTCAGACAGTGTTATTGATTGGGGAGTTTCTTGACGAGGAATCTGTTATGCCCTTTTGAACATAACCTTCAAAGGCACGTCACTCAGGGCGAGTCTTCTCTTCCCATCTTGCACGAACACGCCGATGTCTCTGCATATAACCTTGCAGAAGTTGCAGACAGTAGGACAGAACACGAGCTTGTAATCGTTCCCGAGCTTCTCGATCTTGAACCAGTTAGAAATGGTTTCCCGACCCGGGTTTCCCTCGACCCCTCCCGTTGTCACGAACCACTGCTTCGTCGTCTCGTCGAAGCTCTCCAGCTTCCACACGGTGGACTGGACGCAGATCGTGGCGGCTGAGAATTTGACGTTCTGATCCGTCGAGATACCGACGATTCTGGACTTGTCCGAAGGCGAGAACGTCAAGGGAAAGCCTGGGGAGACCTCGAACTTGTCCTGGACGACACTCATCGGACAGGTCTTGTTCCCGGCACTTGCCATCGTCAGGCCACCGCCGCGGCCACGGACGACGGGAAGGATGTAGTAGTCGAGGCCTGCTCTAACGGGTTTCCCTCTGATATCACGGACAGGCTCCGAAGCTGCGTCAATGGCGACGGAGACGACGGTGAAGGTAACGAGAAGGGACAAGAGTTGGGCCATTGTCGGAAGCTTCATTGTATGAACATAACAGAAGAAGATGACTGGTTCATTTTATAGACTTGAGACCATGTCGATGTCGGTGCGTGCGACGTGGAGGAACATTTGGGCTTTGACTTTTTTACGAGATAAAATCTAAAATAAGATGACAAATTTTTTTTAATGATATGATATTCTTTTAAATAGAGATAATTTGACAAATAAAAAACTCGAATTGAATCCGTTTAAATTTTGTTTTAAAAATATTTTTATATAATTTTTTAATTTAAATTAACTGATTTGAATCTGAATAAAAAATAGTTGAAAAACTGAAAGCGAATGTTAAAAAATAACTGCTTTTAAATTTGAATCAAAACTACAAAAAATACAAAATCTAAAGATGAATAAATCAAAATTGAAGCGAGATCAAATATACTTTTGGATAATATTATTGGCGTTCTTATTTTCTTTTTTGTTTACCAGTCAAATATCCGATTCAGATCACATGACCAGCATTGAACGGTCCACAATATGCAATTAATATTAGATAATGAGATGAGAATGATATTGTTCTCTTATAAGGATACGGTCAATATATTTTATTTTATTTTGTGCGATTTTGGTGAAGCCTGACGATATATTCGTTCATCTGTGACGCAATTGCCTCTCATTTATTTATTAAAAAAAACGTAACATTAATAAAACATAAACAACAATTATGAAAAAAATATATAAAACATAATTCAGTATTATATTTTTTATTTATTTTATTCTTATTTTTTACACTAAAGAATTAAAAACAAAGAGTTTGGTTTTTTCCATGCAAATCAAACGCATTGTGCATTTCGAACCATTGAACACATAATTGTATTATTATTAACAACAGCAGGCACTGAATACCTAATATTCTTAATTTCTTACAATAAAGATAATTAATCATTTAATTTAACCACTCGCTATGACCGCGCGTTCTCCTGACCGCGGAGCCAGAGGCTCAAAACGCCACTCGACGCAGACGCGACGCCAAACACCATGAACGGCATCAACGGACTCACCTCCCCAACGCGAAATTCCTCACGTTCGTGGGGGAACAATTCGACGCAGTGGAAGCCGCCATGAAACCAACCGCTTCTATTCTACCACAAGCTTCAGGTATTTGGTAACCGCGTCAGCGTTTACGACGCGACGGATGGACAGAAGGGCACAGAGAAGGCAAGAAACTCCGGCGAGGTACGTTGAATTCCAGAAGGGAGGACGGAGATTCACGATTCCGAGGAGGATACTACCGACTAAAACCGCCGGAATCTCCATCAGAGCGTTAACTGCTGCCGTTAAACAGAGATTATGATGCATTGTCGTTGTTTCCACAACACCCAGAGGTTTGTCTTTGTTCTTATTAATCATATCGTATCTTCTACTCAGATGCTGTCCAGATCGTGTTGTTGGAAGGAGAATCAATTCGAGATTATATGAATCGTGATTCGGAAAGGTGTATTCTGAACTTTAGAAGCGGATGATTTTGGATTTGAAGAACAAATCTTATAGCAATGCATAAGTTTTTTTTTTCACTCAAAGAAGAAGATTGTATTGATTATTTTGGACAAATCCATGCTTTGAAGTATTTTAGATAGCATGCCGAGGATGTTTTTTCCTTTCTTTCTACCGTCTGTAAGCTCCATTGGACCGAGTGGCAATGTAGGTTCTAAGAGAAGGAGACTGGGTAAGACCGTCTGGTGCAACGGTGGTGTTCTGAGTTCCATTCTTCTGCTTCATCCTTCTGCGTGCGATGTAGCCTCTCACCCAAGGCGTGACATCCTCATTAACCTTGATCATGATGAAGAAGATGATGCGGTAGATGGCGATCATGCTGAATATAACGCTCAGGTCTACCCATTTGGATCGGTGCACATTGATCTGGAAGACGTTCTCCAGGATGTATTCGCCCGGGATCTTGAAAGAGCTAGGTGACTGGCTGTCAAAGAGCAAGCCTTTCAGATCATTCTGGTATTGACCCTGAAGAACACCACATGGGTTGATCATTTAGAACAGCTCTTAGTATAATCATATCCATGCCATGACAATATATGAGTGTTTCCCCTGCAGTTCATCTTCCTTACCTGAAGTGCCCAGAAGTGGAAGCTGATGTACGACATCGGATAACGCCAGAAAGGTTTGGGGATGTCGTTCGGAAGCCTGAAGTATCCAGAAACCAGCATGAAGATTCCCTGAGACAAAAGAAAACACCCAGATTCAGGAGGTCTGGGAAAAGCCTGAAAGAAGAAATTTACGATGCAAATGGACGAGGAGGAAGTACCTGAATACCGGCTCCAATGATGATACCCATGAGGAAATTCGGAACAACACTGGCTATAGCCATCATCAAGCTCTCCACAACGGTGACACTTGCGTAGAGGCAAAGAACAAAGAACAAGTAGTGTGTGAATCCCGAGTGCAGCCCAACCATGAAGTAGCAGATTGTCCCAGAGATGAAAGTTATCATTATCAGGAATGGCATTCCGGATAATGTGTTGGCTAACACAAAGGAAAATACTCCATAGTGCCCGTTTAGTCTCTCTCGTTGGAAGACCTGCAAAAAGTTTCAGGTAACACAGTTTTGTATTCTGTTCTGAGGATTGATCACACAAGAAAGTGAAAGAAGACTCACCTTCATGTCTTCAACAAAGGAAGGAAACCCGCCAATTGACATGAATGTCACAAAACCGAAGACAAAAGACGCGCAAGAACCTCGTGCCTGATTCAGACAAAGAAAGAAAGATCTTACAAGAAGAGATGCAGAAGATAAGGTAAATGTTGTTTCCTAGCTTCAAAGATCAACAATACCAGAATGGCGCCATAGCTAGTCCCGATATTCAGATAGATTGTTCCGATGCAAAGCGTGACCAAGATGTAAATAACAAGTCTCAGCCAGTAATATCCAAAGTCCCTTGACATGTTAATGAAAGAACGCTTGGTTAACGTGTATGCCTGCATCCAGAAACTAGCCTGGCTGCCCCCCGAATCAAGAATCGTCCCTTTCTGTAGACAATGGATTGCAGAAGCAATCCGGGTCGTTAGTACAAAATGAAACATCAAAGAATGGGATCATCAAAGAAAGGAGCAGATGGAGATCAAACGGGCTAAAGGGTACATACAACTTGGGATATCTCCTCGACCTTGGCTTTAGTGGAGTAGTAGTATTCAGAAGTGTGGTAATAATCTATGAGAAGTCGAATAGCTTCAGTTGTGGTAATCTTATCCAACGGGTCCTCGCTTGCCTCGAACTGGAAAAGAAAACGGCTGAGTTCATCAACAAGATCAAGATGATGATGATGATCTGAAGACAGAGAAATTTTCAGTACCCTTAATTTCATGGAGCCTTTCAGGGTAGCTTTAACTTTGTCGAAGTCGGAGTTTATGCATCTCAGGAAATGATCAGATGGGTTCCTTAAAGCAGGACATGGAAACCCGGCTTGTGCAAAGAACTGCATTGCAATGTAAGAAATAAGCTAAATTGTTAGACAGATTCAGATTTATTTTCTATGGGGAATGATTTTTCAGTTCTTGCCTCATATGCCTCGGAAGCATGGCCAAAGTAAACTGTTTTGCCTCCAGAAAGCAAATACAACCGATCAAACAGCTCGAACACTTCACTGCTCGGCTGATGGATTGAAGCTATCACAGTCCTCCCATCTCGTGATAGGCCACGCAGTGTTTGAGTCACGAAGAACGCAGATGCACTACACAAGAAACCGGAAAAGGATGATTCATAGGATTTAACTGAATCAAAGTTACTCTTTTAGAAGATAAAACCAATGAAGAACATCATTGGGAAACACAGGATCTGACAGGGACTTTGTCTGAACCTGTCAAGGCCACTCGTGGGCTCGTCCAGAAAGAGAAGCCGAGGTCTCATGAGGATCTCGAGGGCTATGCTGACTCTACGCTTCTCGCCACCACTTACTCCACGCAAATGCCAGTTTCCAATGGCAGTGTCTGCACAATCTTGCAGACCCATCTCTGTTATGGTGCTCTCGACCAATGCACGTTTCTCCGACCGCGACATCTTGTCCGGAAGACGCAGCCTCGCAGAGTACCAGATCGTCTCTCTCACGGTTAATGTACCGATCAAGTTATCATCTTGCGTCACATAGGCCTGTAATTAGAGCTTAAAACGGATAGATCAGAACCTAAACCTTATAGACATGAAACATGATCTAAATTAAGGAAACAAAAGATCTTTCTTTTCAAAAGAACCAGACAATCTTGTTCTGTTTTAGCCAAAAGGCAATACTTTTTCTGTGAATGGCAAAAATCCAAGAACTACCCATCCACCCCATGACAAAAAGTGTGCTACCCAAATGAATCAAGCACATATACATATAGATAGGGGTGTGTGTGTATATATATGGAGGCACATGCATGTATGTTCCAAAGGTTGAGACTTTTTGTTGGAAACTAACAGCTGTTCCAAAGGAGAGCTTGGTTTTGCGGCCGTTGAGGAGAACGGTGCCGGAGAGGAAGGCGTTGGCGGCGAGACGGCTGGCGAGAGCGTCGAGGAGAGTGGACTTGCCGGAACCTGAGGGACCCATTAACGCCGTTAACGTCCCCGGTTCGGCGTAACCGGTCAAACCTTCTAGAACGTTCTGAGTCTCGCCGTTTCCCAACGTCACCATCACCGTCAAGTCCTGCCACGTCAACCTCGCCGACACATCTCCGACGAACTCCGTCTGAGTCTTCTCTCTCCATATAGCCTCGCTCAGTGGGCTCAGACCGCCCGCCGGAAAGTTTCCTCCGCCGCCGGTGGGAGCCGCCGTGGCGGGGACTGGCCTGGGTGGGTCCATCTC